CTCAAGCCTAAACAAGTTTGGGAACTGAGCTGACCAGCTATACGTTATTAGTACACATACAAACTCCCTGTTAAGACATTAAAAATGAATCAAAATATCTTTGTATTTTGTAATCAAAATAGTAAAATTCAAACCCAAAGTAAAGGATCCCTATAGTATATTCACTAATTGTAAGGTATGCTTATCATTTTAGTTTAGGGTTGGATCCAATTAAATATCGTGTAAACTCAACTGATATTTATTTTGATTTATGTTTCCTTCTATATAAAGTGCCTCGAATGTGATGTTTCCACTGGTATGATACGTGCTCCCTATGCTTTCCTGAACATTATTCAACTGGTACATTATGTGGGTCATCTTATCCCTGCAGCTCTCAAACCTTGAAAGATTATTTGTCAAATTATTTGGTTAGATATGGTAGTCATCTGATCAAAAAGTGCATGCTGATATCTGGATGTGTTTACTCACTCAGATCGAAACATCAGGCCAGATTTCGATTCTACGACTGTCCAACTTGTCCTCGTTGGACCACAACTGCAAGATCAGCTGCACAGCGGAGAACATTGTTGGAGAGAAAGAGTCCTCCCTGCTGCTGGACATACTATGTACGTTTGCCCTCTGGCATGCAGCCCTAATTCAGCATAGATTATATTGTCAAAGTGTTCGTCAATGTAGTATAGACTAAAGCTGGAGGACCCTTCCTATCATCTTTAAGTCAGTGCTTTTGCATGCTCAACATCTCCGCACATTGCTTTTCTGTCTGCTTGTATCTCACACTTAAACTCTCTGTTCTCTCTCAGTTCCTCCCAAAATCACTAAACTGAGCGATGCAATCCCAGACCATCACTGGTGCATCCCCTTCAGCGTGTCAGGTAAGAGAGACATCCAAATAATGTACTTATGCTGTTAATTTTTTTGTCATTTGGTCAGTCCCAGCATGAAAATGTTGAATAATATTACAGTATATGATAATCACAGCAGTGACTACATAAACAAAATAATATAGACTGATAATTAAGGAATATTAAACCAATGAAAATGTCTTGTATTGTCTTCATAATCTTTCCAGGAAATCCACAGCCGCGTCTAGAGTGGTTTCAGGATGGTAAATCAGTGACGGAGGGGCAATACATCATGACCATGATCCATGACGTCACAGAGAGAGAGTACCACGGCTGCCTGCAGCTGGACAGCCCCACACACCTCAACAACGGACGCTACACCCTCTTGGCTGAAAATACATTCGGGAGAGATCAAAAAGAGGTGGAAGCTCACTTCATGCGGAGGCCCTGGGATGGTGAGGAGTAACACAGCACAATGTTTCATTTTCCGTTCTAACGTTATTATGATTGACATATCTAACATATCATTACACTGATGGTGCAGAATAAAGAGATCAATCAAGCTTTTAATGTACTAAAAAGTACAGAGCTGGAACGGCCGGTCGATAAAATAATTAGTCCATCAACAGGAAATAAATCAGCAACTTTCTTGTATTATTTATTTGTTTAGAACATTTTTCAAGCAAAGATCCTGACAGTTTCAACTCCTCCAATGTGGCAATGTAATGTTTTCTTTCCTCTTATGTTATATTAAAATGATGATCGTAAATGTCACCTGAGTCATTGGGACGTTGTAGTGGGGATTTTTTTTCATCGATTAATGGATGAACCACATATTGTTTTTCTTATGATTAGTGTAACTTGTAAACATTTCTTTGCCTGTTGTTCCTTTTCTTCTCTTTTTTTGCCTTCAAGCCCTTAAAAATGATGAAGTTGTAGAACTAATCACTTTTACAGTTACAGTCACAGTTAATGTCTTTCTAGATTCAGATTAGAAGCTGTTGTTATTATTTGGTTAAATTCATAATGTTGCTTTTTCCATTTTTATAGAATATTGTGGCATATAAAAAATATATCCAGTGTGCGGTGTGTGAAATATTTGATCAAAAGGAACAATTTAATCAAATATAATCTTTGTGTTTTTGTCCCAATGTGCAGGAACAGAGAAGGACCCTTACTATTATGGTGAGTGAAATGGATATTCACAACCACAAATGTTTTTTTTAATTAAAGTAAAAAGTGTTAATCACATCCAGTTTGGATTCATTGTATTCATAGTTTCAATGTTTTTCTGTTTAACCTCTTATCATTTTCAACCTCATAACTTAACACAAATTACATTTTAGAAATCTTTCTCTCTTTTTTTCTCTCAAGTTGCTGAGGGTACGTTACATACCTACACATCCTTGCAGCTAAGGATTATGATTGTTGTTATGTATTTGTCTACTCTGTGATGTTGTTATTTTTTTTCTTTTTCTTTTCTGATGTTGTGCATGTCAAATATATGTTGCTTGTTGGTTTTTTGTATTGCGTTTGTGTAATGGATATTTTTATTCTTCTCAAAGAATGTACAATTGAATTGTGTTAATATATTTGGAAGATAACTTGTATTTGTTGTCTCTTTCTCCAACACCTCCTCCCTCCTGAAGATCCAACCACAGGTACTGCGGCCGAGCCTTTCATTTTCTCACTCCCAGTCACAAACAACACAATTAATTGGCTAGTCCCTGCCGCTTTAACATTGTTTCCAGCTGACTTTTTAATGTTTCCAGCTAACTCTGTATAAACCGGTCTAAAATATACACTTGATGAGTACAACTGTACATGATATGAGGCTAGTGCTGCATTCACATGAATTCAGGCAAATTGATGCCATGTTACTAGATAGATATTAACAGTGGATACAAGATAAATATAGCGACATATTGTCGTGTGTGTTTTGCCATCCTGCCAATCTGTCAAACTGTTCCTGTGCCGTGAGGAAGGTGGTGTCTACCGTCTGCCTGAATCCATGTGACTGCAGCATAAAGTTAACATACAAAAAGTCTGCATCCTCGCCAATTGGTGATCCATGCAGAAATCATGGAAATAAAGAAACCGCATTGTTCTTGTATTACAGCATAAAGGTTAATTGTTTTTATTTTTAAACACTTTATTTCACTTTTAACCTTACAAGACAAAAAGGCTTTGAGGATGAGGACAAATCGATGTCTGACACATGTGAGACTGTTTCTAATGAGGCTGGGGTTGCGGGAGTTGGGCAGAGAAGCTAACATTAACCTAAACTAAAAAGAAGCCATCATCTAAACATGTTAGATGCAGGCCTGTCATGACTAGTTATGAACAGTTGTGAAGGCTAGGATTGTTGTTCTGGTGAAGGTTTTAGTGAAGTGAGCTAATTAAAAAAGTGCTAAATATTAACCTTGAACTAAATTCACCCACTGAACAAATGCAGATGACCAATAATAAGAATTACACTGTCCTTCAGCTGGTCACAAATCATTTCTTACTCTTCTTCTCTCTATTTATTCATCTCTTTGCTTCATCAACAGAGGGCCCTCCTGTAGAACCACCAGAAGACAGAGTCGCTGTAAGTCACGTATTACTGTTGTCCTCCATCTCTATCTCTTTGCTGACTGCCTCTGTCAGCTGTTGACTGTTTGTGCCTGTTTTTTTCTACTTATTTGTCTTACCTGTCTAGAAACAACTGAGCTGGATTTTTTCAGTGTTAGAAGTAATTAAATTAACCCAAACCAAGTACAAAGGCACACACAAAAATCTGCCTTTTGTCTGTACCTTCTGGTGTATTGTGTGTGTTCAGAATAAGTGGTTTATAACTCGGTTTTCTCATCGTGCAGGTGTACGTGGTGGTGGGAATTGCTGCTGTTGCCTTCACTGGTTTCCTTCTCATGTTGGTTATTCTCAAGTTTGGAGGAAACTCTAAATTTGGCATCAAAGGTAAGACTCCAGACTTTCATTTGCATTGGTGGCCTCCCTCCTGTGGGGGAGGAATTAATTGTAAAAATGTTAGTAACTTGTTGTTTGTGGATGTCTAGATTGAGGCGTTTGGTTAATAAATTGTAACATGGTGGCTTCATGGATACATCAAAAATAATTTTAAATGATTTTTTTCCAAAATCAAAAACTACATCAAACTTCCTAATGGTCTTTTAATAAACTCTGCAGGGGGCAACAAAATCTTATTTTAAGGTGTTAAATAATAAAACTGGTCAATTACTTGAGCAACATGCAGGCCACATAATGTTTTGATGATCGATTCAGTTCACCAATTTGTATAACAACTACAAATTGGACATTTACCTTTATTATGAAAACTAATAAAACTTTTTTTGGTTTTAGAAAAATTGGCTTTGTTTTTTAAATTCTTGCTAGTGGGCCTAAGATGGATTTATAGTTGATGCAAGGAGTTGTAGGTTTGATCTCCTGCTGATATCACCTCTGCAATGCTAGGCACATGTGTTACATATGACTTGATATACAGAGCGACACACACATAGTAGATTTATGGAACTGGAGTTACATCCTGTTAGCATTAACATTATTTTACCATCAGGGGCGGAGCTAGAGAAATATTCATAGGGTGGCAGAAATATAATCTGATTTAATTGTTAACAATCACATATTTGCTTGGAAAAGCCTCCAAATGAAGATATTTTAACTTAAAAACATTACTTTATTGTGGCACATTAGTAAAGTTTTTTATATAAATATCTAAAGGCAGCATTATAAATCAATATTTAAAAATATAAATAAATTGTTTTATTTGCAAATCTCCAAATACATGTCTTTTTGCAATGAACTTAAGACTATCACTTACTTAGATCATTAAATTATTTGTGTTAATATCAGTTTTTTAACACATTTCTATTTCTAGATTAATTTAAATTAATGCATTTGATACCAAACTGGGGTGGCCAGGCATTTTGTATGAGTGGCAGCAGCTGTGCAGTTTGTCATCATTCACTCATACAGAGCAGCGAATGCAGTGTTAGAAAAGCAGAAGACTTCAGAGAGTCTTTAACCTACTTTATGTTCAATAAAGACTACCAGCAGTCCCCGCGATGTATCTTCATTCATGCCGCAGCCCCAACGTGTAGTTATGGCGATACCTTGGAGTCCATGCATGTAACCACTGTAGCCCCTTAACGCAGAAGTATAAATCCAGCTTTAGTTTAACTTGTGGGAGCATGTTTGTACAGTACACATTGCAGGGGATATATCTGACATCTTCCTTGCAGTGGCTGTTTCAGCTCAGAAGGTAAAAATCTGGGGCTGAAGTCCAAGATGGGATAACTACATGTATGATGTGACATAAAAAAGAGAATCAGTTAAACTGTGTTGTTGTTCATGGTTTAACGACATCTAGATCTAATTTAATATGCAGATAATCACGTATCCATGAATCCATCCTGTTGTTTGAAGGAAGTTCAGCAGGTCTGATGGTGCTGCTGGTGAATAACACGCATGTTGACTAAACTGAACTCCTGTAATCTTCCTGTTGATGTAAAACTACTGTGGTAGCCATTGTTGAAGCCCCCTGCCCCCCCTCAGGCACACACATACACATTCACCATGTATCTTTTCTTTGCAAATGTGGAACTTCTGCAATGGCTACAAGTGTAACTAATCTGTTTCCTCTTGTAGTATTTGTCATACTGACTTACTAGTACTTATTTTGTGTCATTCTTTGAACTAACGATAATCAGTCCTTTCTACACACATAATGATGGTTATGCTGTTTTATATGTGAGACAGACGTTCATCTTTTATTTCTTGTCTCATTTTTTGTTGTAAAAGTGATTCAAGTAACTGTTTTCTGTGACTTCCATATAGTTGACTTGAGTTTAGTTTAGTTTGGTTGAACAAACATAATGCATTTATGATAAGCAACCAAAGAATTCAACATTCCCAGGAAGTAATTTTCTACTGTTTAAAGATACAGTTGTTTTAGGAATAAATAACTTTTCGGCGCTGCTTGAACCATCCCTTTTTGATGCAGCAGTGAAGGTCCACATTTGACATTCAAATTACGAAACCAAAAAGTGAATGCAAATGTAGAGACTTAATAAATGTGTGTTACCAAATGTATGTTCCTGTTGTGTGCTCGTATGCACTGCTGAAGTGTGGTATTTTGGCAGTGATTGATTTATGGCCCCCCTGAGAGAAGGGATGCATGCAGATGGAGCCGCTAGTATATACATTGTGTGCATGTGTGTGTTTGTGTTTATGGTCTTGTGTGTGGTTTCTTCTTTCTCTAGGAGAGGTGAATGAGGTTGCTCAGAACGAAATGATCTCTCTAATGCCTCTTAGCGTCCCCTATATATCTGTATGCGTGTGTATGTGTATTTTCTTCGTTTAAGCATTTTTGTACGTGTATGCACTTCCACTCGTGTGTAGGATGTTAGGTCACATTACGGTTTTGCCCTTCTGATTGCTCCCCTTGAGTTTTCCTCCTTCTCTCTTTCCACTGTCGACTTACTCTCCCCGTGTGGTTCCGTCCTTTTATGCTCCACATACATCCAGATGTATGTGCCTTGCAGCATGCTGACATTGGGGCGAGCGTGTGGGGAGACAGATTGAGAGACAGTATAGTGTCAGTATGAGCAGCAGAGTCAGACGGAGAGTCGGAGAGCTGTGAGTAATCCACAGCAACAGTTGTGCCCACATAACCGCTGTTAAACCTCCACATATATTCCTATACCAAACCGTTGACCAAAGTTCATCTGAACTACAGAAATATAACCGCAGATGGCTGCACACTACCAGTGCTAATCGAAAACAAACAGCACTTTGTCATGGAAACATGGTTTACAAATCATCCCAACAAGCGCTCGCAGACGCACAAACACCCCCATATGAACAGAGTCAGCGCTGACGAGGATGATGAACTTGTAATCAGAATGTGTGAAGAGAGCGTGTCAGGCCTTATACCATATTGAACAGGTGTCCAAGCTCATCTCGCCTCACTGACTTTGGATGAATCGCTGTCCGTCTCTTTCTGAGAGTCAAGTAAAAAGCTGTAGCTGGTTACATTATTTATATTGACTGCATTATTCTGCTCCTCTCTCATCAATAAACATGGGCAACATTTGATGCAGGTTACTTCTCACGTGCTCCTTAACACACACACACATACAGCATGGCTGTTCTGTTTTGTATACTGTATATAGTTGTGTGTGTTCTTGTGCTCTCAGGTGAGAGTAACTAAATCTGGTTAAATGTAAGATTAACCATGTGTATAGTGCTGAGAGAGTAATGTAGATTCAGCATATTTGAAATACTGGACTATTTCACTATTGGATGGAAAACAGAGTTGGAAGTTGGAGTGCCGTCTCATTTTGGCTCTCCATGATAATTTCCACGCTTCCCATTCATTGTGAAGTTAAGAGGACCATCTTGTGATGATGTGAGGGGAGGGTCTTTTCTCCCGCTTCCTGTGTGTCTACTGTGTGTGTGTCCAGTGTGACACATACAGCTTTATCATAGAGTTTAAAAAGGGGGTTTAAGCTAAAGCGGGGCAGTGGAGGGAGCAAACAGCTCTCATCACCTTATAAACTGATGCCTATATACAAATATTTATATATATTTATAATATTATTAAGATTTTTTAGTCCAATGCACACCCTCCATTTAACTCTGTTTTGGTCTGCACCAACTCCTGAGGGAAATATCTGGCTCTTTAGCTGCTAAATGCCCCATTATGTTCACCTCCACCTGGATATGATGTTGATGGTGAGAGTGAACCAAGACAGTATAGTTGAAGGTCACAAAACCAAAACAGTGAGACAAAGATGGTAAATTTCTAAGAACTGCAGTCAGAAAATATTGATTATAGCAGCTTTAAGTTTGTGTTGTTATATGGAGTAACCAGGGAAAACCACACAATAATTAGCTACTACTAAAAGTTAAAAGGTATTATAGCAGTTGGATTTAAACCTAAGAGACATATAAAACGGAAATTTCTGTTGTACTTTTAGTCGGGACGTCAGTCTCGTTTAAGATCCAACTTGTTCACAAATTAGGCTACACTTATCTGATCAATACAGCTTTCCATTTTTGGGAAAGAAAGCAAATCAGGTTTGGTGAGACTATTCGCATGCCAGATACACCATCTGCGTCCAAAACACCACACTAAGGTTACATTTTACCTAACAAAATTGAGTTGTATCCTAAATGAGTTCCCCTTTTGCCACAAATTAGCTCACAAGGAGGTAATCTTGTGAAGTTCAAGTGGCAGCAGGTGTTACTGAAACTGAAGTATTTACAAAAATGAATATTGGATGTTTGCTGCATGGACGAGTGAAAGATTATTTATTCAGGAAGTCTTGAAAGATGAATTTTGTGAGCAAGATCAAAGTACAAACTGTGTCCAAATGTTGGAGCCTGCAAAAATTAAAACCCAAAGATTTGGATGTTGAGAGACAGAAAGAGTAATACCGAGCTGGCTTCAAATGGGCCTGCTGAAAGCCTAGCAGTTCCCACAAAATTACACATAACGACCCTCCCAAACTGACTGCAGACTCCTGAAAGAAAAAAAACAGATCAAACAGTGCAGGCAGAGAGGGAAGGACGTAGCAGCATCTATATGTGTTCGTGCCCTCAAAGCACCTGTAGGGAGGTAAGCATCAACATAAACCTGAGTTCTGACGCAGGAACAAGACGGAAATGTCAAGACAGGAAAAAAAAGAGAAGTGATTGAAAGTGAAACAGTAAATGTGAAGTGGAGAAAGCTAGAGACAGGTGGAGAGGAAGAGAGAGCGAATGCTAAAATTGACATTTGACAAAAAGCGAGATTGAGGTACACAGACAGAAAGCCAGTAAGGAAGTAAGAGGAGAAAAAATATGGGGAAAGAAGAAGCTAGCCAGAAAGCACACCTTTAAAAGATAGAGCAAGAGGAAAGAGGAAGAGACAGAGAGAAAGGGAAGGAGAAAGTCCT